ACAAACTGCATTGCAGTTTCTGTGCTTCTTGAATGTTGCTCATTTCACGCCATGTTCTTCTGTAGTTTCTGTTTTATGATATATCTTGTTTTTGAACTGTGCAGTTTCTACTGTGTGAGAGGACAAACATAATACAACCAATCCTGGGCAAGGAGAAAGAAACTCCTGCCATTCTTAAATGGAGTCTTGTGGAACTCCACACAAGATTCAACCAAATAAAGGACTTGAATGACATCGAGGTATGCAATTTATCGCATGTTCTACTTTAATGTATCTTGAATGTGAATCCATGCTAAATCATTCTCATTGTACAGGGTATTTTTAAAACTCCTAAAAAGCGAAAAACTACCAGGGAAGAGGAAGACACTGTTGACAAGGTAATTAAAATCTGTATACAGTGCATTGCAGTTTGTGTTTTCTACATTGCAGTTTGTATTTTATCCAATGCAGTTTTTGAATCATTCAATCTCATTGTGAAGTGTATTTTGAAAGCATATAAAAGGAGAAAAACTACTAGAGAAGAGGGAGTCCCTCTTGACAAGGTATAAGAATCTCTAAACAAAGAATTATGCATTGCGGTTTCCATTTCCTCCAATGCAGTGCAGTTTCTAATTAGTTTCCGTTCAATATGCAGAAAAAAGAAAAAGAAGATGAAGGACAACAAAGAGAAGCAGAGGAAGCAGAAGACCAAGGAAAACCTGATAATGCTGATCAAACTCCAGAATTAAAAGAGGATGGAAAGAAGAAAATGTTTGAGAATGAAGCTGGAAATGAACCTCTTGCAATTCAAGACCTCTTGGTGAAGTCCATGACAGACCAAATCAACTATCGCCAACGTCAAGATCCTACCTTCATTTGCCCAGAAAGATTACAACTGTGGAAGGATGAAATAAATGAAGACAGTGAGAAGAAAATGAAGGAATTGTGGGATATAATTATCCAAGGAGAAAAGAGATCAAAGGAGTTGGAAGCGAAGTTGGCAACATACGTAGAGAAATTAGATAATGAAGAATATTTGACTGCCACCATGACAGTGGAATCTACAGTTCAGCTTCAGGAAATACAAAATCTAAAAAGGAGGATTGCAGAATTGGAAGGCAAGGAAACTTGTATTGACAAGGAGAAGATTGCCAAGAAAAAGGAGATTGAAGAAAAGTACAAGGTAGAAATTGAAAGCTTGTTCTCAGACCCAACAGTCTTTGAAATGGAGATGGATCTGCCTACAACACAACCAACACAACCAGTTGAAGAGCAAGAAGAAGAAGAGGAAGAGAAAGAAGAAGACAAGAAAGAAGAAGAGAAGCAACAAGAAGAGAAAGAAGAAGAGAAGAAGCAAGATGCTCCAAAACCTGATGTTCCTTCAAGAGTACTAAGGCTGAAGAATAGAGAAAGAAAGAGGTTTCAAGCATCTTGCTATGTGTACGAAAAAAATAAGAAACCAAAAAAGAAGGCAAAAAAGGATGATGAAGAACTACCACAATTCAAGATTATCTCTTCCGAGGAGCAATCAACACAAGAGGATCCTCAAAATCAGAAGGTGGTATGCAATTACTGCAGTTCAAGCTGCTGCTTTTTCTGTTTTCTGCATTGCAGCAAATAGAAACTGCAATGCAGTGTGTTATCTGCTTTACAGAAATGGAAACTGCTTTGCAGTTTCTGCTTTACAGA